AACTAGTGAAGCGGAAGCTCATGAGCGACTAAGGATTGAATAGAAACACTGATGGGCAAAAAGGTAATTTTAGCTATGGTTGTCAGCCACCTCTATTAGAATTAGACGGCAAGGTGATGGAAGCGGCACACAGGCAAAAGAAACTTCGGACAACGGTGCTAGAGACCTTTTGAAATTTTCGATGGTACACAAGTAACTTGGATCTTTTATAATGGCACATAGGTAAAAGGCTCATTTAGCTTGTTTTCAGTGTGCTTAGTGCCATAACAGTGCGAGCACATTTGGGTCAGGTTAAATTGGATGGTTCCTCCACTGATGGAATGCCCAGAGAGAACATTTCTAGCTATCTAGACATTAGAGGTGCAAGTGGAGTGACATGCATGCATGTATGTATTTAGTCCCCCAGAAGCTATGTAAGGGGAGGCTGGGGCTCTCTTTCTAAGGGTCTTAGACTCTCGGATAGTTTCCTACGCTCTCTAAACTCTATTTGAACCCTAACTCCCATGTCTCAAACCTCCTGTGTCGTAACCTCTACTACAAACATTTGGGCCCTTAAGCTCAGGAACACGAACAAGTGCCACAAACTGGACGTAGGGCACATTGACTAAACCAGTATAATACTTGAGTCATCGAGCACTAAGCCATCTGAAGCCATACACATGGCTACAAATTTACTAGTCAATGCTATGAAATGTCGACAAGTATAGAGAAACTCCAGTTGCCTAGCTTGTATGATTTTATTAACGCAAAGACAAAACTTTGTAGCATGACATGATGTACATGATGCGATTGTTTCACCTATTGATAGATCCTTAATGATTAGCTGATGTATGTGCTCATGCACATTGGCTTTTTCTCCATTTGAAGGTCCACCCTTTTAAGCATGTGGAATTTGGATACATATGTATTTTCAAGGTTGGAGTCTAACTTGAACAAGGCTAATAATGGATATATTAGCTACAAAGATGATGCACGGAATCTAGTTCATCACATTGGCACAACATGGCATCTTGTATTCCATACAGGTGATACATGGACACAGCCATGCCAAGTAGCTTCCCTGAATCCAAATTATTGGTATGTCTTTTTCCCTTGTTGCTGTTTACGCCAAAACATGTGGTTGTACCCTCCTCACCCCACCTCATGGTCATAGTGAGCCCACAAATAGAATAGGTCTTTTTCCTCTTGTTACCCGTTGTATTATTTCTCTAGAATGAACTACAGGTCTACAGCTAATCAGTGGCAGAGGCACATGGTATGCCTGGTATGCTCCGGCGTACCCTGCAACAAGATCGGCAAGCATAATACATATACGTAGTATATACACATGTATTTGTAAAGAAAAAACCTTACCTCGTTCGAAGGTATGGCTTTTGAACTATTTATATTGTATTTAGTGGATGGTCTCAACTTAATCTTTAAAGTTAAGCGTTATCGTGATACTTAGTGCATGTATACCGAATCATGTTGTAAATTCTACAATTATTACTGAATAGCTAAAATGGATTACCGAATTGTATAATAAAATTTTTAGCCCGCATACCCTGAGGTAAAATCCTAGATTTGCCACTGCAACTAATAAACATTGATATGACATTACTAATTTTTTACCCTGTTGCACCGGTAATTTTTTTATGTAATAGGGCCAAAATTGATGCGATAGGTTGGTACCGCATCAATTTCGCGTTTGATGCGAACCGATGCAATAGCTCTAGATACAATAGCCTTATCACATCGATTTGATATGACCGATGTGAGAGTTCGCTATTGCATCAGCCATCCATGGTCTCTTGCATCAAAATAAAGAGATGCAAAAGGGTTATTGCATCAAAATCGTTTTGATGTGAGGTCACTATTGCATCAGCCATAGATGTCTCTTGCATCAATATAGAGAGATGCAAAAAGGTTATTGCATCAAAATCATGTAGATGTAATACATCTAATAAATTTGATGCAATAAGAATTTCTATTGCAACAGCTAACGTTCAGTGCAATAGACCATATTGCATCGACATTAGGTTCAGTGCAATAAAACCTATTGCATCAACATTAGGTTCGGTGCAATACAATCTATTGCATCGACATTAGGTCCGATGCACTTCAAACTATTGCATCGACATTAGGTTCGCTGCTATTTTATATTGCATCTGTTTTCATTTGTTGAATAATAAAGATTTGCGGCACATAAATTCATAAAATTACAAAATCCAATGGCACAAAAGGGCAATGATATTAATAACTTTGATCATCCACATTCAATAGTTACAATAATAAAATAAAAAAGCTTCATAGTTCAATAATGTAACAGCAAGGTCGTCAAAACTGCATTCTAGACTTGTAGAAATGAACAATTAGACTAACGACTCTTAGCACAAATCATGAAAGTTTCGTTGCCATTACAGAATTCTTGATTCAGTTCATCCTTCCAAAGAGTCTAAGCGCTCTTCTCAAAGTGCATCCTCCTGCTCAATGGAAACGGTCCAAGTGGCATATGCATCAGTTTCAGACTAAGGACTCTTACATCAAAAGAGCTGTCATGGTAGATTTATGGCCTCTCACGCCAATATAAATATGTATATCATCTGAAACTCAACAATTGCAACATCATAAAACTTTACCAGCATTAGTAGATAGATGCTCAGCTTACTGTTGGTCACAGGACTCTGGACCCCTTTCAAAATTAATTCATTGAGCTGTCAAATGAACCAATAATCAATCAGCAAACACATGAAGAAAGAACTGGCCTAACAAATATTCAAATTAGCACCTTAAAGTAGATGTTGAGAAGAATGAGAGGACAATGCTGGATTGGGGTGCCCTGCCACTTGTTAGCATTGTGCTTGAGAAAGCGCCCCCCAAAGTTAACAGTCCATGATTTCGTATATATTATCCAGAAATGAAACTGGCAGAAGAGAAGTGATAAAAAGAATATGTGGCAAGAGCGGCCAGTAGTTGGTATGAATCATGCTGCTTTGCTCTATCTGAACCGAACTTTAGGTCTTGATCTAATTCATTTGCTAAGAGGGTGAAATCAAATAAATACAGATGGAACTTGTACATAATAGCAAATTGAAGAATGGCATACGATATGCTGACTTACAGTAAGTCTTTAACCATAATCTGGCCTGATGTAAAACAGACCACAATACAGATCGTATTAAAAAGTTCATGTTTGATACAAGAAAGAAGTCATATATAAAATCTGAAATAAATCTGAGAGATCATAAGAAATCTATTGAGCAGGCTTCTGATAGAGTATCCCCACATCATTATTGAGCTGAATGTAAAAAATATAGCTACTTTTGAACAACTGTAAGAAAAATATCGCCTAAAACCATGGGCAAGTTTTTCACAAAATATCCCCCCCTCCAAAGATGATTAGTAAGCCAGCTGCAAAAAAAACCCATAAATATACGATCCTTACAAGTTTTTGGCTCAAATGACATAATCATAGCTTAATTTGTAGAGTTATTTCACTGACATTACAAGCAGCTCTTCTATATGATGCCGCAAGACAGATATATATAATCAACACAACAAAGATCATATCACATAGCAGCATACAATTAGACAAAAAAAGATTACCTAAAGTGCACCATTTAAGTAGCAGACAAGGAAAGTAAAGAGTCGGACATACCAGCTTTGTCAAATATTCTTTCAAAACATCCCAGAACCAACCCTGTATGGAAGCTTGTTATAGAGCATCTGAAATTGAAGGATGAACAAATATATAACGATCAACAACTAAAGAAACTATTAACAAAACCACACTATGATTTCAGCTTCAGTTGAATTGTACAGTACACTAAAAATATTTACAGGACTGATGTGTGTTGAGGCATTAGTCAACATACAAAGGAATTCCAAATACATTTACGCATCTACCGGTATTTGACCATGAGGACCAAGTGTCTGTGAAGAGCGAAGATGCAAGTTGTTGCTGCTGATCAGAGCCAACAAAACCGCAAAGTAACGCTTCCCTGCGCCGAAAATGGGTGAATTGCTTTTCTGTTACAGGTAGGAAGTAATCACTACAGGTAATGCTCAGAAAGTAAATGGAAAACCAAAAAAAGTGATGATCAGCCTGTTCGTTGGTTGGTTTCTGGGCTGATAAGCCCGGCTGGTGGTTTTGTTGTGAGAGAAAAACACTGTACCATGGCTGATAAGCCATGACTAAAACTAACAAGCGAACATGGCTGATGAGTACTAGGAAGAAAAGAGGAGCATAAGCTACATTTGTATTTGGTGGGCATAAAAATCAGCATTCTTAGGATTAAGGATAAGGAACCTTGACAATTTAGACGAACATTCATATGGTAACATAACCATCGCTGGCATAAGCACTGACCAAACTGACGGAACCAAACCATTATACCAACATTGTTCTATTCCCCAAAGGCATGCATCAGGCAAGGAATAATGGAGAGATAAATAAAAGAAAGGTAATTAACTGCTATCCTATCACTGGTACGTTAAGAAACCATTATACCAGCACTGTTTTATTCTGCAAAGGCAACATCCATCAGGCAATCAAATAATGGAGAGATAACCAAAAAAAAAACTAATTAGCTGCTATCCTATGACTACCACGCTGACCAAGCTGGTTTGATGGTCAGGCCAACAATGATCTCTTCCCCAACGCAGAGTGTCTGAGGAACTGAATTACTGAAATTAAAATAAAATGCTTACCTGCAACGTTGCTGCCTGTTTGGCGTTTGCCTGTGCAGAGTGAAGCTCTGTTACACGGTGCCGGCGGCGTCGCTACTGCAGCTGGCTGGGGGCTGCCTTGTTTGGCCTACACGGGCAGCCGGGGCCGGCTGCCGCTTGTGCCCTGCGGCTGCGGCCTCCGGCGTACCATCTTCCCCCGGCCGATTCAGCGATTCGAGAAAACAGGGGGCTGGAGACGCCTCCGCCCCGGTGGCAGGTCCGCCCGTGGCTGCCGCTGCTGGGTGAACAGCGGTGGCCGTCTGGCCGATGCGGTGGTACGATGGGAGGGTACAATGGCCTTTTTTCCCCTTTCCTATCTGGACGGGTCAAAGGGCAAGGGCGAGGAGAACGATGCCGGTGACCATGCGTGGCACAAACCGCGACCGGGCGAAAGGAAGAGGATGCGGAGCCTGCGAGGCGCGTGCGTCGCGGCCGGGGGAGAGGAAGAGCAGGCGGAGCCTGCGAGCCGGCGGTGTGTGGCGTCGGCGCGTGGAGCGGGCGCGGAGGAAGAGGAAGAAGAGGAAACGGATGTGGTGAGGTGGAAGTTTCTGCGTGGACGGCGCCGCAGGGTAGGGTCGACGGGGTGGCCTCTGGACGTGGGCGTGGAGGGCATCCGATAGGGCAGGGCTGGGATCGGACGGCTGGGATAGGTTTTGGCTTTTGGGTGCACTAGCCGATGGCGGAATTTTTTCGCTGAAAATGCACGGGCAGTTGGGTTTCGGCGTTTTGGCCTTTGTTTTTGGCGGCTGTGCTTCCAAATGTAAAGTATAGTTCAAATAAATCTGTAGATATACATTTAAATTTTTTTAAAAATATTTTTGTGCCAAATAATTAAATTTAAATAGTTTTCTTAATCAAACATACCAAATTATGAATTTATTAAATTGTCATATAAAAAACATAAAGTTGACTGCTAATCACCTTCAATCCTAGAAAATTAATAGAAATTGACTATAATCATGTGCTTATGAAATAAAGCAACATGTTATCTCAATTTAATTTTTTATCCAACTTGTTTAGTATTCTTATACGTATATTTTTGGTTTTGGTGAATAGCATATGAAAAATTCTTTACAAATTGCACAACACTATAGTAAAGTAGTACAAAATGAGAACCTAAGACTATCTCCAACAATGGGAACCCAAATACAAGACTCATTTCACGTTTGGGTAACGCTACAGGCAAATATTTCTGTCGGTACAGAAAGTGACCAACTAGTGAATATTTGTAGTTTTGCTGTACGTTGTGATCGGAGGTGGCCTAGCACTCAATGACACAGGATTTATATTGGTTCAGGCAACGTGCCCTACGTCCAGTTTGGGTCGGTCGGTGACTTTATTCCTGAGCCCAGATGCTCGAAGTTTGCAATGGGGTTACAAACGAGAAGAAGAAAGATGGGGGTACCAGAGGCCCGGTCGGCTCCGATCGAAAGGGCCGAGAGCGACGGGAACTCCGCTATAAGCTAAGTGTTCAAGCGTGTGCTTGAGGTCCGAACCTGACGGTTATGTGGTTGTGAGCTATTGGACTAGTGAATCTAAAGGAACTGAGCTTGAATGAAATCGTCCGTCCTCCTGTTGGAGGGAGTGCATCCGCTTTTATAGATGAAGGGAATGGCTTTACATGTGAGAGGGAGAGGGTATGGATGCTTTTAAGCCTTGTTGCCCACGCTGATGAGGATTGGATAATGGTAGGCACCCACAACACTGTTGATGACACTGTAGAATATCATGTGCATGTGGGAGGTTGTGTTATCTTCTTCAAAAGAGTTTGATGTTGGTACCTGCAAAATACTGCTTGCCCAGAGGCACGTGAGGAGCCTCACCACGTTTTACCGGCATGGTGAATCCCGGCGCCTACAACACTATTGATGCCCAAAGGCATGTGCGGGGCTTTTTGCCGTACGGGAGTCCAACGGCGCCTACAATACTATAGGGATAAATGTCGGCGCCTACAATATTGTTTGTGTCAGGTGGTTGTGGAGCACTTTTTTCGCAGGTGTATAGGGTATGGTCCCTGTCCCGTGGTTTGACTCGCGTGCTGCCTTCTCCGTTCGTCCCGGGTCCCTTTCAAGCGGGCGTCCCTAGTCGGATGGCCCCAGTCGGCTTCAGTTGCGCTAGTCGGAGAAGAGCGGCGAGCAGGGTTCTTACATACCCCGGTTGGAGAGACGTGGGGTCGGAGTCAGAAGTAGGGCTCAGGGCAGGCCTTCCGATCGGAGAGGCCGTCCGGAGGCGGCTGGAGCCCAAATCGAGCGCTCCGGTCGGATAGGTGGGCCGAAGTAGCTGATGAGCGGGCATTGCTCTTCTTGGGCCAGGCCTTCCGGTCGGTTGCTGGACCGCCCCTTTGCGCTGTTGTTTTTTTTTGACTCTCGGGTCGAGCCTTGGCGTGGAAGCCGGTCTCCAAGGGACCCCGAGTTTATGAACCCGACAGGAGCCCCCGAGCCCCTGGGCGATTCGGGCAGAATTGTCTAGGGGATTTTTTTCTTGCCGGCGGGTGCACGCGAGCGCACCAGCGGGTGTAGCCCCCGAGTCCCCGGGTGGTTTGGGCAGAACCGGCTAGGGGGGTTTTCCATGTTGTCAACGGGGGAGGTTTTTCTGTTGTTTGACGGTGTGCGCGAGCTCACCCGCGGGTGTAGCCCCCGAGCCCTCGGGTGGTTCGGGTAGAACCGTCTGGGGGTGTTGTTTTAGCGGGTGTGTGTGTGCATGTTTTTAGTCTGAGATGGATTTTTGTCTAACCAAGGCGTCGTTGTGTAGCCGAGGCGTTTAGGTGCGGGGATTGGATTTGAGACAGAACTTACTGATCCCGGCGTCGATGCGCGTCGTGGATCGGGTGAGAAAGTTAGTTTGGACGTGAGAGAGCTCACTGATCCTGGTGTCGATGCGCACCATGGGATTCGGGTGAGGGAGTTAGTTCGGGTCAAACCCTGGCGTCGGTGCGCGCCGCGGATGGAGACAGCTTAGTTCGGATGCGACAGAGCTCACTTATCTTTGGCATCGATGCGCGCCATGGGATCGGGCGAGACGGAGTCATGAGCGGACCTAGGCATTGGTGCGCACCATGGATCGAGAGAGTTAGTTTAGTTAGTTTAGAAATCGATCGAGCCGGAGCTCGTGGATCCTAATGAGGCCGTATGACGCGAGTTCGGGGTCGCGGTCCTAGGAGTCTGGAGCGTAGTCGGAAGTGAAGCTGTATGACGAGTTCGGAGTTGCGGTCCCATGAGTCTGGAGCGTAGTCGGAAGTGAAGTCGTATGACGTGAGTTTGGAGTCGTGGTCCCATGAGTCTAGAGCGCAGTCGGAAGTGAAGCCGAATGACGCGAGTTCAAAGTCGTGGTCCCATGAGTCTGGAGCACAGTCGAAAGTGAAGCTATATGATGCGAGTTTGGGGTCGCGGTCCTAGGAGTCTAGAGCATAGTTAGTTAGTTAAAGATTGAACGAGGTGGTGCTCGTGGATCCTGGCGTCGGTGCGTCGTGGGACCAGGTGAGTCGGAGTCATGGATCTAGCGAGTTCGAGGTCGCCATCCTTGGCGTTTGTCTTGAGCCCCCGAGCCCTATCAGGCCTTCATGGGGGTCGGTGTGAGTTGTGTGCGTTACCCCATCCTCGGTTCCTCACAACCGATGGGGCTGAGTTTCATCACTTGTCTCGATCACTCGGGCTCGAAGACTAGCTCGGTGAGTTCGCTAACTGGTGTGATTGAGCAGAATCCGGGTTTGTCGTTCGTGATGGGGTTGGCATAGCCCTCTTGTGACATTCCACTACTCCTTTACCTGCAACCCGGTAGATGCCTAGGTCATTCCAGAGACCGACCCGGGTGGCCTAACGGCCTCCCCATGATGGAGATTCTGTGGGCCTGGCGAGAGGTTCAGGATTGAACGAGAAGGTAGAGATGACCCGGTCTACCGGACCGGGCGAGGGCCGCACGGTGCTCATCTATGGGTTTCTCCCCTGGCTCTGTTGGTTGCTCATGTCGAATGAGGCAACCGCCGCTTTGTGATGCAACACGAAGCGTTCTGATGCATTTCGCTGCACGTGCGATGCTTAGTTCCCGAGCCCCGGGCGATTCAGAGCCCGAATCATCCGGGAGGTGTGGGCGTATGGAATGAAATGCGTGTATGGATGTATGAAATGATTTATAATGAAACAGAGGGGTTTTGATAGTGTTTACCTTAACGACTGGAGTGACGGGGCTTGGAGAGCTTTAGTCGAAAACGTCCGACCGGGACCCATGCTCGTCGTTCGTGACGGAATCGGCATGGCCTACATGGGGCATCCCTTCGCTTCCTACCTGTGTCTCGGTGTGGGTACTAAGCAATTCGATCGACTCAGGGGTCCGCGGCAAGGAAGCTCCATGTTCTTCTGCTGAGCATCTATAGGTGCGATGCCCTGGAGGTATCCATCATGTTTGCCGAAGTCGAAGGAGCGGAGCCGAGCGGGTCCTAGTGGTTGCATCTGGTTTGGCTTCCAGGCGATGTTGTTTGAGCGGCCATAGTAGTATTTGTAGCAGTAGAGAATGTAATAGTTAATTTTGTGGGTGAGTCCCTGTGTGAATAGTTTTTTGTAATAAATACATCCATGCTGCCCTTGTGACAGAACCATGATATTCGTTCGTTGTGTTTATCTCAGCATAACTTTTGTGTTTATCCTTTCTTTCTCGTACCTGCCCGTTTGTCCCATAGGGTGCGACCTTGGTAGCCTGCGGCGTGGCCCGCGAGGCTTGGCTGTTCGTACCCGTAGGGAAAGGCGGGGTGCATCTGGTTGGGAGTAAGAACAGAGTTACGTAAGGTAATCAGAGGAATGTAATGTGTTTCCGTTTGGGGACAAAGTTGTTTTATCGTGTGGTAGTAAAAAAGAAAGAGAGGTAATATTCAATATTGTACCCTTATGGAGCCCCCGAGCGACCCGGGCTGAAAGCGTTTCGGGCAGGGGTGCTCTTATGGGAGCATGTTTTAACTAAAAGCGGTTTTCGATCAAATTTAGGGGGAAAATTGTCGTAGCTGTTTAATGATCTAGGTATTGTTGAGAACGTTGCCGTTGTTGTCCTCCAGTTGATAGGTGCCCGGTCGGATTACTTCGGCTATCGTATAGGGTCCTTCCCATGGTGGAGAGAGCTTGTGTTTTTCCTTCGTTGATTGGGTCCTTCGGAGTACGAGATCACCGACTTCGAGTATCCTCCCTCTGATCTTCCTTTCATGGTACCTGCGGAGGGTTTGTTGGTAGCGGGCGGAGCGGATGACGGTCGTCTCATGGGCTTCTTCGACCAGGTCGATCGTGTCTTGTTGGGCCTCCGCGGCTCGATCACGATCGAAAGCCTTCACTCTTGGTGCGCCATGGTCAAGGTCGGAGGGCAATACTGCCTCGGCTCCATAAGCCAGGAAGAAAGGTGTGAATCCCATGGATTGGTTTGGGGTCGTCCTTAGGCTCCAAAGGATCGCTGGGACCTCTGCAACCCATCGCCCGGCGTACTTGTTGAGTCGGTTGAAGATGCGTGACTTAAGTCCTTGGAGGACCATGCCATTGGCACGCTCGACACCGTTGGTACGCGGGTGTTCGACCGAGGCCCAGTCGATTCTGATGCTGTACCCATCACTGAAGTCTAGGAACTTCTTCCCAGTGAAGTTAGTCCC